GATTTTTTCTCTTTTATTACACCTAGCAAAATGTTTGATATAAATTGGGAAAATGATTTCTTTTTAATAGAAAACATAGACGGTGAGGCACAATGCGTCGTATGTTATAAAATTATATGTAGAAAAGCTTTATTTTTTTTAAAAAGGCATTATGAAACTTGCCATGGACCCTTAAATGACCTTAGGGGACATGACAGAAAAGTAAAGTTGTTGCAATTAAAAGGTTAACCGATCAACACATTGGTGACTTATTGCGTATTAAGGAATATAAAGGAAACATTGATTTGGATAGATTAGTTGAACTTTAAATTAAGTTCAGTTAATATCTCGGTAATATCCCTTAAAAGTTCGAAATCGAATAGAAAGTCGTGATTTTCTTAATGATATTTCAGTAGTTTTATTTAATACTACTTTTTAAAAATACTACTACTTTTCTTAAATAAAAAACTCTTTCCCTTTATTCCATTTTTGTTTAAAATGCCCAAAAGTTCATGAGTTTTTCTCGTCGTAAAAAGTATTTGCAATAGAAAACAAATTTCAAAACTTTTCTCAGTGTACCACCATTTTGTTATAACGTGCAGTCATCTCTCTGCTGCTTAACGCACACAAATATACACATGGTGGTATGTGTTTGCCCATGACTGATTTAGACTCAAAATTTATGTTTTAGCTACTGCCTTTTTCTAGCCATTTTTCCGCTTTCTTATTTAGCCTTAAAAGGCTAAAATTTTAGAATCATCAGTACATATTTAAGAATTTATAATGAGAACATTTACAAAAACATTTAGATTTAAAAGTTTTTGTTTTGAATATTGGATTTTGATTACAATTAGAGTAAAGGTGTTTGCTTCAGTTGTCAGATGAGCTACAATTTTAGAAAAATTTAATTTAGATTCTTATGAACAAAATAAGACCAATCCAAAAAAGTCGATATTTTTAGTACATACATTTTATTAGAGCATATTATGCTCTTTTGTAACAACAAGAACGAATGTGTATAGTCGTGATTGACCGAATATGATACTTTAATGCAGTCATAAGTATAAGTAATTTAATAAAGTTTTTTTTGTTTCCGATACATTTCAACAATTTATTGATGAAAAATATTTTTTTGAGAGAAGCTTTATATGGGGTCTAGGGCAAATATGGACCGATCTCCATAAAATTTGGCGAATTTTGTCGCGATATTATTGTTTATAAGTAAATTGATATTCTAGTAATTTTCTGAAGGGGATTTATATGATGGCTTATAAAAAACTAAAAAATTAGTTGTGATTTTTCCGAGATGCAGGTATATTTTACATAATTAGGAGCTCAAAGGCCCTTTTAGGGGGGTTCAGTTGAATGGGGTCTAGATGAAATCATATACCGATTTTAATCTTTTCCAAGCCTATGGAAAATGTCTTATTGAAATATAACATATGTGAGCAATTTTTAAAAATAATCTTATTGGCCATTCAGCCAATATCATTATTATCACTTTATTATCATCCCTAATAAAGTGAATTTTGTTGTAAAAAGAAGCATTTTAATTATGCAAAAACTACTCGTTTAGATCTTTACCCAATCTTAGGACTCTCGAAAATCATTGGTTTATGGTCGGGAATTATTTGTCACTTGTTTTAATACATATTTTAAGGTATACAAATTTAGCCTTTTTCTAGCCTTATTTTTTATAACTTTGGAAAAAATTTAATGTTTAGAGATTTAGTTATTTTTTATATAAAAAATTTTATTGGTTTTCCTTACATACAACACCATTACGATGATATTCATGTCACAAAAATATTGAAAATTCCGTAAGGTTTAGCCGTCATACTTGGAAATTTTATATTAATGATTTTTGTCTGTGTTGATTATTAGGTTCCCAAAAAAGGCGCAAGCACACCGAAATCAATACTCGTTTCTAAATATTTTACCATCACTCCTGAAGGATGATGCAAATGAAAACCTCTTTATTTCAAAATTTTGTCGTATTATAAAAACATACAAATTTTAATTATTTGCATAGCCCTTTCCAAAAATAGGTTTCATTCCAAATCTAAATTTTTGATAAAATTTTTACAGGTTGTCCCGAATTGTTCTCATATCTCCATTATTTATGGACCGAAATTGATTTAAACACATATACATATATATAGACGGACATAATTTAATCGACTCCGCTATGTATAATAACTCGGAATAAATATACTTTATAGGGTCGGAATATTATATTATAGAAATTACAAACGGAATGACAAACTTAAGCTGACTACACACCATAATATTCAGTAAAACGAATGAGAATATAATATATGAACTATGAGGGATAAATTCAGATCCGTAAGTTTGTAATTCAGGAATAATATGTCAATAAATTTTTCAAAATTTATTATTTTTTGATTTCTAAAAAAGTGTATAAAAAATTACTAAAAATCGAGCCAAATGAAGACCCGAATTTTATACTATTGAATTTTTTTCTAAGTTGATTGTTAGGTTCCCAAAACAGGCACAAGCACCCAAAAAATCAGTATCATTTTCAAATATTTTTCCAGCACTACTGAAGGAAGTTGGTAAATGAAAACCACTTTATCTCAAAATTTCGACGTATAGGAAAAATAATAAAAAATGTTAATTAGCCACCGGACCTATTCAAAAATATATGCTTCATTCCATGAGCAAACAAAAAATAATATTCTGTAACTTGTGTAATCATAGCAATTTTAATTTTATTTTGTTTTTTCAGTATGAAATAAAAATCTAACGACTTCTCTCATAGTGTATAGGCAGCATTTATATATACCCTTTTCATGAAGGTGACGGGTATAAAAATGCATTATTAAAAAGATGTATGATGATGCGCTTTACCTAAGGTATTCCATTTCTCTTTTTTATGTCTTTAAATATTTTCACTATTTCACTATTTTCTATTATGTTTTACATACATTTTCCAAAGTTTTCTATTTCTTCTATTGGAACTGCAATAAGGACTAATCATTAAAAATCATACAATTATGGATATATTCCCATAAACATTGATACACATATTTAGGTTTATTTAAAACATGTTTGTGTCGAATTTCATTACTAAACAGATATTTTTAAGACAGTAATGAGCGTTAATGTAATTTTTTGAAGGGAACCTAACATGGGAGGTAGGGTCATTTATTGACCAATTCTTTTAAATGTTTGTAGTAAAATTTAGGTTCCTATAAAACTTGTTTGTGTCGAATTTCATTACTATACAGTAGGGCATTAAAGTAATTACCTAAAGGTAGGTAGGGTCAATTATGGACCGATTGTCAGAAATTTTGGTCAAGAAATTTAGGTTTCTATACAAATATTTTGTGTCAAATTTCCTTGCTTTACTAGTATTTTTAACACAATTATCAGTATTTATACGGAGACTTGGGTCAAATATGACCCAATGTTCATGCATATAATTGACTTGTGCTAAATTTCATGGAAATTGCTTCATATTTAAAATATTTTTAAGTATTTAAGAAACTTTCTGGGGGGTCACTTCTATGGGGGCTAGACGAAATCTTTAACCGATATTGCCCTTTGTCAGTACCAAATAAACTTTACCTATAAGAAATATTTGCGAAAATTACATCTATTTATTTAAAGTAATAAATAAGTTATAGATTTCTGGCCATTTACCACCGTGCATAGTGTTAAATTTAAGAATTTATTAATTTTTTCTTTATTTTTTCCAAAAAATTCTCATTTTGCTCATAAATACTTAAATACAAGCGAACACAACGTCCTCACAAACAAACACAATGTGAGCGTTGTTGTTGTTTTCATGTGTCTGCATACAAAAAATACTAATTTTTTACGAAATTCTCAGAGATTGTCTCGGGTTTTTTTCTAATATCTTCGTTATTTATGGATTTTGCTGATTAAAAATAGAAAGCTTTTCTCGAAAGCATTTTAGATAGATTTATTGAAATATTTTAACAATTTGTAAATAAAAAAGGGATTTTTTAAATGAGGGGTTATATGGTACTATCCTTATAACTTTTGGTAGGGGTCATGATATTAGTGTTTATAAGTGAATTTTGACCATCAAGTCATTTTCTGAAGGGCACTTTGTATGGGGGATAGGGTCAAATGAGGCCCGATCATTACGAAAATCAACAATATTATTAATACTTATATAAAACTAAGTTTTGCCGATTTTTTAAGTAATACAAGAACATTTAACATATTTATTCGGGGGGTACGGTTGTATGGGGGTCATACGAAATAATGTACTGATTTTAACCATTTTCAATAGGCTTCGTCCTTGGGTCTAAAGAAAAGTATGTGCCAAATTTCATCTATGGTTTGCATGGATACACAGACGGACAGATGGACACAGCTAAATCGACTCAGAAAGAAAGTGATTCTTGATGGTCAAAGTGAATTTTGACCATCAAGTCATTTTCTGAAGGGCACTTTGTATGGGGGATAGGGTCAAATGAGGCCCGATCATTACGAAAATCAACAATATTATTAATACTTATGTATATAAAACTAAGTTTTGCCGATTTTTTAAGTAATACAAGAACATTTAACATATTTATTCGGGGGGTACGGTTGTATGGGGGCCATACGAAATAATGGACTGACTTTAACCGTTTTCAATAGGCTTCGTCCTTGGGTCTAAAGAAAAGTATGTGCCAAATTTCATCAATGGTTTCCATGGATACACAGACGGACACAGCTAAATCGACTCAGAAAGTGATTCTGAGCCGATTAAGGTGGGTGAATGACCAATATCTTTGGGTGTTACAAACATCAGCACAAACGCATAATACCCTCCCAACTATAGTAGTGTAGGGTATAAAAACGAACAGTTTGAGTAACACAGCTCTCACTTTGCAATATGACCCAATGTTGTGCAAGTGAAAAGTGATAGGTTTTAGTCCGCGGTGATGATACTGACTGACTTTCACATATTTCATTATTTTCTTACATTTGAAGTGCCTTTTACTTGTAAAATTTAATCTTAATATTTTTTTTATTTTCAGCGTACCGACACGATTCCAATATCTCAATTATATCGGCCACTTCCCGGGCCATCTCAAAATCATCACTATCGTCCCGGACAATCTTATAGTGATTCTGGAATTTTTTCTTCTATTACTAATGGCCTGAATAACTTATATTCTAATATATTTGGCTGATCGTTTCAATCGGAGCTTTTCTCTATTCGACAAAAAAGTTTCTGAAATTGAATTAGTTGAATAAAATTGGTATAAGATTATTATTAAGATAAAAAGTTGATAAGTAAAATAAAAAACGTTTTTTTTTCCTTATTCCACACATTTCACAATGTGTTAAATTAATTCCTATAAGATTATTATTAAGGTAAAAAGTTGATAAGTAGAATAAAATTTTTTTTCCTTATTCTTCACATTTCACAATATGTATGTGTTTAATTTTTTTTTTTTGTAAATTATAATAAATTATGATATCGATACATAATTGTGTTGTATTTATTTTTTAAACCAACGTCTATAATAAACGTCGTTATAATGCAAGTTGACGAGTTTTCAGATAGGGAAAATAAATCGCGCTTAAAAAGGGAGATTATAATATCATATATTATTATTGAAAACGATATTTCAATATCGTTTTGAGATTCAAAAAAGTTTTTAAGTTTTATTCCAACACAGAGAAAACAGATTCGTTGCCACAATCGAATTTGGTCGGTCCTACGAACTATCGTGTAAATCGATTGCAATTGCCGAATATTTCGTTTGCTCACACATACATATTTTTAGAACAAACATTGGTTGTTATTACTGAATTTTCGATAATATTAACTGTACTTTGTATAAAATTGGTACACGCAACTACATATTTATAAAATAATAAAATAATAAAACTTTTATTACAGGGACCAACTAAAATTTTTAATTTATTTCCATAATTTTTTAATTATTAACAACAACAAAATTACAATATCACAAAAGTGTATTAAGTTATAATTTCAAAATCAAAATCACTAAAAATCGATGTATATTTCAAATTACATTGACATTGGGGCGGATCTTACTAACAATAAAAGTTAGTAAGTTTTAGAAGTGCAGGATTACAGCTGCAAATATTAATACAATAACCCAATCATATATACACATGTGCGAAATATTCTGCAGACATAATTGATATCTATTCACATAAATTTCCGAAAGTAAAAGAATATTATTCTAATGTATTTTTTAAACGAAAACATATTTAACATATGTTTATTGCTCCTTATGTATTAGTTATTGCCCTTTTTAGATATTTATTGCCCCTTTTGTTTGCAAATTGAAAAATTTTCTTGATTTGTATTTCTTTATTTCTATTTTAGAACTATTAATTTTAAAATGTCAAGAACAATTTACAATTTGTTCATGTATTCGGAAATACCGAATTAAACTTTTAAGTTATTACAGTAATCGAAACTTCAAATTTTTCGGTTGAAAATACCGAATAAAGCTTTATTGTATTAAATATAATCAATATTTCCATACGGTTTACGAAAGTATTTAAAATCCAAGTTTTGGCTAAAAAATACTGATTTGAACAATTTTTTGATTATAAGAACAGAAATGTTCCATTGTATTGAATAATTAAAACTTTAAATTGGTTGTAGATATTGAAATAACAAATAAAAATTTTAAAAAGTACAAATTGGTTATAATAATCATATTAATAGTTACTTTATCCTTATTTCAGTTAGAATTGTGTTTTTTCTGTTCTAATTATAGAAAATATGTTGAATTTACAGTATTTTAATAACTACAATCAATATTAATTTTTAAGTATTGAATATTAGTAATTGTAAACATTTTCTGATCGATCTTTTTTCTGTGTGAATAAAAAAGTTTATGAAAATTTATAAAATTTTTCATTTTATTTATTCAATAAATAAGTTTAAATAAAAAAACTCTTTTTAACATCCCAGCAGTTCGACAAAGAGTCAATGCATACGTAAAAGACAGTCATTTACACTAATGTGTAACCACATGGTTGACCCTAATTTATATACATACATATATTGGCTTATTCGTTACCAACGCACTGTTCGTAAACGAGAGGGAGGACAGTCGTCACTTTAGGTACCCTAGGTAAACGAGTGAGGGGACACTTAAAAATTCTAACCTCCTGGTCGTCATTCTTCACGAATGTACTCTTTGTAATCGAGAGCGAAGACAGTCGTCACTTTACTGTACACCAAGTAAGCAAGAAAGTGGCAGTCGTCACTTAACTTTCTCCCGAGTAAACGAGAGAGGGGACACTTGAAAAAACTTAAGAATTGATGGTGAAGAGAAGAAGAATAAACATGATCAGTTTTGTCTGAATGCAAAGACAATGAACAGTTATACTATTTCATCACTTTTTAAGTTATTTGATTTTTATATTAGTTGACTTTAATAAGTTGTTTAAGACAGTTCTCGCTAAAAATTTTGTTGTGTGAATTAAAAAAAAAATGTTTTTTAACTTGATTAAAAAATAGTAAAATTTAAATAAGAAATATTTACAATTTGGAAGAGTGAATTCCTTTAAGATGAGTTAAAACAAAAAACTTTAGCAGAGATTACGGAAAAAATAATCTTTCTTAAATATAACAAATTCTATTCTTTCAGAGTCATTTATGTGTATTAATGAATTCCAAAGTTTAAAAGTCCGGTATTACTGAAGATACAAATGAGTAGCAATATTAAAAATATTTATTTCAATATCTATTTAATATAGAAATAAAAGTATTGTTTTTTGTCATAAGTTTTTAGAGTTATACTTCGACGGACCGGTTATTTAACCCTACTGCAATACCTGTCCATTGGAGAAGCTTGGGAACACATGGCTTTCCCCTAGGATACGTCAATAGCTAGTAAAGTAACTACTAAAAGAGCTAGTAATGTGACTGACTCCCAAGAACCCATTTGGAGATTACCATCCATTGACTACTTTTGACTACCCCTTGACAGTCTCATTGTAGAGTGACGATTGACTTCCTCGTAGGACAAGCCCATGTTAAAATGGTTGGTCACCTGGGTAGTCGGCTGGCTAGGGGCCACCATAAGTGGTATGTCAGTTGGTTAGTTCGGGATTGTCCCGTCGAACTTCTGGGATTAATAAAATAATATTTTATACCCTTAATATGGGATATATTCCTAAAAACTGTAAACATTGACCGGTACTGATGACCTTTAATCTCTTAGATTAAGTTTTATTCCAATAAAATACATAAAAAGTTTGTTTATTGAAAAGTTTTTTTTTATTAAAAAAAAGTTTTCTTCAAAATATATATGGCAACACTGCTTACACGCTTAATTCTTGTTTCTAGGCAATAACTACACACAGCTTCATTCGTAACGTGTTGTACTTGCTCTGATTTGTTTTTATAAACAAGCAAAATCTTCATATGCTGATGCTGTTTGTTTTTGTCTAAGCATGCACAATAAATCTAAATTTTTGATGAAATTTTCAGAGATTGTCTCGGATTTTAGCTCATATCTTCGTTATATATGTCTGATAAAATTATTGAAGATTCGGATCTCGCAGATATCTGGTAGATATATACCCTTCCCACAAAAGTAAAGGATGTAAAAATCAAATCAACCCAAGAAAAATACATAGAAACCCTCAAAAACATTATGACAAAATGCAACAACAACATCAAATCCATAATGTCACAATAACAAAATAAACGCCAACACCAAAAAACTCATTAAGTGAAAAAGCATCAAGACCCCCCAAAACAAAATGCAAAAACTGTAACAAAACAAAAAACGCAGAAATGCATTTCATAAACATGCCTGCAGGCTTGTTTTGACAACCAACAACAAAATTAGATGGCCTCATGGAATGCAAAACCTTTGAAACAATAACAATTCAAGCCTCAAATAAACTTAAACTGAAACAGTTGTAAAGAAATTACAACGATAATAATACTTAAGAAAAAATCACATTAATATTCATAACTTTCTTACTTTTTTTATAATTGATTACTTCACGAGATAGTGTTGGCGGCAGTATGTTCCTTAAAAAATACACTTTAACACTTTTTTGTCATTTGCACTTGTTAATCACTTTATTAATACTTTAAATTTCTTTAATTTTTAATAAATTATTATGAAGAACATAATTTTAAAATGCGTCTTCATAAATTTTGTCAAATTTTCAACCGCTTAGTTTAATGATTAAAAGAGAACTAATAAAAAGTAGAATATGCAAATGAAAGGGAATAGCTAAAATGGAGACAAAACTATATTTTGTTTATAAAAACAAATAATGTAGCCTATCTTAAGGCTGATTTAAAGATAATTTTGTAAAAATGCTTAGTTATTATTGCCATTTGCACAATGCTGTCAATATTTGTTCAAAATCTAAAGTCGACAGATTCTAAGCATAGCTTAAGGAGGTTAATAAATGAATAAAAAGCATCTATTACATTTTAAGTTTTCTCTTTCATCTCTTTACTTTTTTTGTTAGTTCTCCTTTATTCTTTAAACTGAGAGGATGCAAATTTGTTAAAATTTATGAAGACGCAAGTAAAAATTTAGTTTTTTTTTATAATTTATTGAAAACAGTGTTAATTAAGTGAAAATGATAAAGAAATATGTAATTAAGAAATTAATTAGTTTCTGATTGCTGCCGCCACCCACTATTATTTCGAACAGGCAACCTCAAATTCATACAAAGGTAAGTTTGTTTTTGTAAAATTTAAAACGAAATATACATACATATGTATGTATGTATGTATTATTGTTGTTTTTTATTATTATTGTTGTTTTTCTCCTTCTCAATATTAGTTGTTATATCTACATAGTAATTTTATTGCTTCAAAGGTTTTGCATGGTATCAGGCCGTGACTTGTTAAAACCTGCAGCCGTAGTTGTTGTTTATGAAATTTGTTTGTGCGTTTGTTTTGTTATTGTGACATCAATATTATTTATTATTGCCATTTGTTTCATAATTGTATGATTGATACAAAACTAAATTATTTGTTAGGATTTAGTATACAAAACTTTCTGATCATTGTTGTTGTTTTCTTCTCTCCCAATATTTGTTGTTATACATAGCATTGTTATTGTTTCAAAGGTTTTGTGGCATCATTCCGTGACTTGTTAAAATCTGCACACGTAGTTGTTATTTATGAAATGAGTTATTGCCATTTGTTTGTGTATATGTAGTTGGCTTTTGATCAGGTCACACTGATTGCATTGTAAAAGCAATTCTACAATAAAACACTTTGGTACAAAAACAACGTGCAATTAGTTTTGTGTTGCTTTTGTAAAATTTGCCCGTTGTTTTTGTTCTGCTTAAGGTGGAAAAACACAACATGCGTTGAGGCGGCAACGCGTTTTACGCTTTTCAAACTTTTCGCGCTTTACAAGCTGCAAGTTACACACCACGCCTCATTTTGATCTTTCTTCTAAAGTTTTTTTTTTAAACAATTACTTTTTTAAAAAACTAAATTTTAAGTTTTTGTTTATTTTTAATTTTTTTTATTGTTGATGAAATTTATTTCATATTTGAGGGTGTTTCGTGTTTGTACAAATGCTTGCTGTTCGTTTGTACAAAAATTAAAAAAATTGATTTTTACACAAACATATTGAATTTTTGTCAAACCGTTTGTATTGTTTATATTCATTAACAACAAAATTTTCACAAAATTTCCATTTCTAAGAAAAATTGACATCTGTATCTTTGCAAGTCCACAAAAACGTGAAAAAAATCGGTGTTTGTACGAGCAATGTTTGTGTAGTGTGTGTGCGAATGAAAAAAGTATGTTTGATAACCCGCTTGTGTAGTCTATTTGGGCCTTTATTCTACACAAAACAAAATAAAGCTGCCGACGGGTCGAAAGTTGCTGAAATTTTCGCGACAGACGCGTCACAAACTACAGTGTGTAACTTGTTAAATGTACTTCCACCTTTAGGTTTATTATATAAAGTAAAGAAGAAAGAGAATAGATGTATTTTTATTAGTTTTTAAAACTCTTATACCCCTTTCACATGATGCAATTATACGTCATTCATGGTCTCATTCGTCATTCAACCCCCCAATTACAAACTGAATTACATACAAGATTGGTCATACAAAATTCCAGTTACGAATTACACAAGCTGTACGTAATACAGTTTAAATTACCTACGAATTTCGAATAAATGAGTGCCATCTCTAATTGTTATCGGGTATTTATCATAATCAGCTGTTTGTTCTCATTTGTTGTAGACAAATAAAAAATAAAATTACAAAAAAATACAAATAAATAGAAAATATATTACTTAATTTGTTAAAATATTTTAACAAACGTATTTTTGTTTCATACACACATCATCGCCATGATGTTTTTTTTTTCATTCATTATTTAATTACGAATGTGTAGTGGAAACGGGTTAATTGGCTATTGTAATTCAGAGGCCGAATTAAGTAATTCAACTGTCCGTGTGAACTTGATATTAAGGTATGTTAAGGATTTTGCGTGTTATTATATATATATATATATATCTAAGTAATTAAACAAGTAATTTGCACAATGCACATAGGGGCACCGACATTTAAATTACCTACGAATTTCGAATAAATGAGTGCCATCTCTAATTGTTATAAGGTATGTTAAGGATTTTGCGTGTTACTATATATATATATATATATATATATATATATATCTAAGTAATTAAACAAGTAATTTGCACAATGCACATAGGGGCACCGACATTTAAATTACCTACGAATTTCGAATAAATGAGTGCCATCTCTAATTGTTATCGGGTATTTATCATAATCAGCTGTTTGTTCTCATTTGTTGTAGACAAATAAAAAATAAAATTAAAAAAAAATACAAATAAATAGAAAATATATTACTTAATTTGTTAAAATATTTTAACAAACGTATTTTTGTTTCATACACACATCATCGCCATGATGTTTTTTTTTTTTCATTCATTATTTAATTACGAATGTGTAGTGGAAACGGGTTAATTGGCTATTGTAATTCAGAGGCCGAATTAAGTAATTCAACTGTCCGTATGAACTTGATATTAAGGTATGTTAAGGATTTTGCGTGTTATTTAATTAAACAAGTAATTTGCACAATGCACATAGGGGCACCGACATATTAAAAACGGCGATAAATCAACCACTGGCTTTTGGTACAAGTGAGTGATATCATGTTTCTAGGTAGGTAGGTCGATAGGAGGATGTATACTACATCAAATCCGAAGAAATACACCTAGGCCACCATCGGGCCTGTTGTGCGCTCCTTATCATGAAAAAAAAAAATTATTTTTCAGTGTTCAGAAACTCAGTTTCCTGAACGTAATTCCTAAAAATCATCCAATCAGTGTTAGTCAGGAATGTTATTTCCGGAATAACATCACTTTCAAAATACTTGGATCTAACTTCGACGAATGCCTGGCAGTGGCAAAGAAAGTGCTCCAGAGTTTCACTGTCCTCTCCACATGCTCTACATTCGTCTGAATCCGCACGGCCAATTTTGCATAGATGTGCTCGTAGTCCTGTGTGTCCACTCAGAATACGTACCATCATACTAACTTCAGACTTGCTCATTTTGAAGAGATTTTTCGTCTTGCTCTCATCAGGGTCACCCCATAGGATCTTCGTGGTTCTACCCACTGTTTCATTATTCCAAGAGGCCTTATGGGATTATCTCACCCATATTTTTAGTTCAGCTTTTGTTGCGTCGAATGGTTTTGCGTTTGTCAGGTTAACTGCCTCGAGCTCCCTTCCCTTTAAAGCTATTACATTCGCCCTTACGTTACCGACTACTCCCGAGTGGGCTGGTACCCATATGATGTGAACCTTACCTCTGGGAGATTATTCAGTTAAAGCTTTCTTACAATCCAATACAGTCTTAGATTTAGTTCTATCGCCTGATATCGCCCTAATTGCCTTCTGGCTATCGGTAAATATATTAAGCGCTGTGGGCGCCATATTTATTCTAATCCAATTTACGCATTCCGTTATTGCTCGTACTTCTGCCTGGAAGCTTGTGTTATGATTTGCTAAACGGTGGTATATTTCTGTTTCTGGGTCTTCAATATAGAAACCCAGCCCCACTTTGTCCCCCAATTTAGAGCCATCCGTGTAACAACGGATTCCTAATGGTATTTGCTCTAATGTTCCGCTTGACCAAGACATTCTATCTGGGATCAGCGTTTCAAAGTTTCCGACATATTCTGTGTCTGGTATACGATCAGGCACGTCCGATGATTGTGTATAACCTTCAAACGTGTCCAGTATACATTGATGACGTGTTCTATAACCGCTTTTGGCCAGTTCGCCTAAAGTAAAGAGCCGTTCGGCTGTAAGCGCCGCCTCATATCTTAAATATGTTTCAATGGGTGGAATATCTACCAACGTTTCCAGAGCCACGATTAATAGGAGGCTATTAATCGTGGTAACCCAGGCGCCTTCGATGTCAATGCATACCGCCAGTGTATACAGTTTGCTATCTAAGGATGCACCTATGTAGTGCACCTATGTAGTGGACAACTTCCGATCGTCCCTTTACATAAGCATGCTGCTTAAATTTTAGGTCTTTGTCGGGTATACTGCTTTTCACCATACTATCAACTATCCGTTCCAAAGTTTTATGTAGAAAGGACGTCGATAAGACTTAGGTGTCGAATAGCTAGGTTTCCCTGGTTTAGGTATAAATATTACCCTTGCATCCTGCCATTTAATGGGGGTATATGTGAATTTCAAGCATGCAGTGAATATTTGAGACAGATGTACGGAAACCAGTCCCGCCTCCATCTGTAAGAGTGCCCGGAGAATGCCATCCGCCCTGCAGCTTTATAGGGAGCGAAGCTCTTGATTGCCCCTTTAACCATATCAGATGTAATTACAATTTCCGTGTTAGCCTCCCCTTCCTCCAATATCGGGTTATCTATGTTATTCGATATACCGGGTGGAAAATGAGAGTCCATTAGGAGTTTCATTGTCTCCTCCATATCCTCCAGCCTCCTGCCCGTATCAACGACCATAGATTCTGGTTGGACATGAGTTTTGGATAGGAATTTTTTTATCTTCGATACGTCATTTACGCTGTCTACCTGTTCACAGAAAAGTTTCCAGGAGTCTCGTTTGGCTTTACGAACAATTTTCTTATATTCACCAAGTTTACTACGATACTCATCCCAGTATACTGTGGTCTTTTTACGCCGTGCCCGGTT